TTGACCAAGATGGAATTTACTGCCAGGTCCAGCGAAAGAGGGGGACCGAGATTTAATTAAACGCGACGATGAATGCAGTCATGCGATGGTCCCTCTGTAATCTGGTTGGGATGTAACTTTCATGGTTACTACAAAATCCTTTTGTGTTTCTTTAGCCAGATCCCGCGTGATGGTGGACGGGAAACCATCAGTGAAGGGCCAGGGGGGAGATCGGCTCAGACTCCAGTCTGACTTCTCTACCAGCACAGACAATCGTTTGCTCAGAAAATCAGGGAACAGCACCATAGATAAGGCCAATAAAGCCTCGGAGGCAAAAGGAACGGATCAAATCTTAAATGCTAAAGTGCCATCCTGTCTGCTAAACCTGCACGAGCGATGGTAGTTTTAAGGCGATTGTCTCTGCAGAAGTTCAGATCTTTGTCCTTCCTTCCTTTTCTCCCTCCTTCCTTCCATTTAATTAGCAAACATCACTTAAGTCTTGCTTGGTGGTACATTCTCAAGACAGAGAGCTGCTGAGCCCAAGTACAGGGTGCTTTGCCCTGCAGAGGTACCAGCTAAGGCACTAGGTGTGAAGGTGCCTGGCATGATGGGGTGGGACAGGCAAGCAGGATGGGCTGGAAGGTGCGGCTGGTGGTGCTGGTGGAGGAGATAGATGGACAGGGCAGCAGGGTGGGCGGAGCTTGAAGGGACAGTGATCGCAGGACTAGTAGCTGTCATGCTCACCTGCAGGTTCTTCAGAGCTCCCACGTCCTCTCAGAGAAAACGAAGGAAATGGCAAAAGTCTCAGAGAGGAGGAGGCCTCTAACTGACCTAAAACGACCTGACAGCCTTCTGATGTAACCTAGAAAGGTCATGCCTCAAAACAAAGCCAGCGCAGAGTACAACCGATCCGGGAGATACCGAGAGCTAGAGACACAGGGCCCAGTGACATCAGGCCCTGGATCCAGCTGTGTCTGAAGCCAACGTCTTTTGAACTTCGCTGCTACATGAGCCGATAGGTATGTCCTGCCTTTTATTGCTCAAGCCAGTTGAAGTTCTATTTATGCCACATATACACTAAAGAGTTCTAAATAATAAAAAGAAAGGAAGACAAGCAATGCTCTGGGGATCCAGGCGGTTTGAGGTGGTAAAGTCACGCTCGTCCGTGCCTAATCTAATGGCTACCTGCTTCGAATGTCCCTTTTCCAGGAGGCCTTTTGCAGACACTTCCAGAATAGGTGAGACTCTTGGGTCATGTAGTCCTTTAAGACCCTATCTCCTATCTTAACACTTGCAACAATTGTAATTCTATAGTCGTACTATTTTTTCAGTTGTTTCTTTATTTCTACCACGGAGGGCAGTGCCCGATGGATTGTAAATGTTCGACAACTATGTATTGAATTAAAAAAAAAATGAATCTAGTTGGAGAAGGACAAAGGAGGCTTACTGGACGAGTTGACATTTGGCGCGGCCTTGGAGGATAGGATGGTGACTCAGTCAGGATGGGCTGGGCCGGGCTGCAGGGACAAAACCCCTCAAAATCCTAGTGGCACATGGCGGCAGGATTTATTTCTTCCCCATGTCACATGCCCATGTGGGGTCAGCTGGGGGTCCTGCTCTGTGCCTCCTCCCTCCAGGCCCCAGGGGATGGAGTCCCCCCCACACCCCGCTCCACTGCCATCTGGAGTGTTGCTAGTAGCTGTGGCAGGAGTAAGGTGAGCGTAAAGGAAGTGGGGTGAATCACCCACCGGCTCTTTAGGTTCCCATCCGGAAGTGGCACAAGTCGCTTCCACTCCCCACTTATTGACAATGCAAGTCACAAGGACATGCCTAACTTCAGGGAGGAGGCGCAGGGAATGAGTGGCGAACAGCCCTCGTGTTTTCCCCAGGAGGGTGTGGGAGGACTTTCTAGAAGGAGCAAACCACTTGGTCAAAGATTTGTAGGTGTATTCAAGGAAAAGCGATGAGTAACCCAGTGACCGCGGGAGGAGGGAAAAGTCTGGACACGTGCAGGGCCGTCTCCACTGCCACGCCGGGAGGCGGGGTGAACTTGGCAGACAGGGAGGTTTAGCTAGGCAGGACCTATGAGCCAGGTGGCTCAAGATGACGACCAGGCATGAGATGAAGGGAACTGGAGGGGGCAGATGCTGGGGAGCCAGGCAAAGCTGTGTCCTCAGCGCCGCCCAAGCAGGCCAGTAGGTAAACCTCTCTGCCAATATGCCACCAATATTTGGTAAATGCCTGTGAACCAGGCATTGGGTTGAATCTTGTCCTTCCAAAAATTCATTTCCACCCAGAAGCTCAGAATGTGATCTTATTTGGAGATAGCGTCTTCAGATGGAAGCAGATAGATTAACATGAGGTCGTTCCTACGGATTAAGGTGGGCTCTTAATCCAATACGACTGGTGTTCTTATGAGAAGTGATGCAGACGCAGAGACAAGACAGGAAGCCATGGAACGACAGAGGTAGAGAACGGACCGATGGAGCGACAAGCCGAGGAATGCCAGGGGCTGTCCGCAGCCACAGCAATCTAGAGAGGGTGCTTCCCTAGAGCCCCACCCACACCACTCCTCGATTTGGGACTTCTGGCCTGCAGGACGGGGAGCCAACGCATTTCTGTGGTTTTAAACCACCCAGTCCGTGGTGCTTGGTGTCAGCAGCGCTGACAAGCTGTTACACACCAGAAGCGAGAGGAACCTGATTTTCTCTGGGCCCAAAGTTGTCTTCATTTATGTTCACAGTAAAGGATTCATTCTGTACCTTGAACGCAGGCTAACATCTAACTGCACTGGGAACAGCTTTCCTTTCGCAGTTTTTCTCACTGCTCACGACTGGAAATGACAGGTCGGACAGGCTCTCAGAGTTCAGGGAGCCTTTACGCAGGCCCGCAGAGGGAGCTCCTTCCACCTGGGCTCCTGGCCTCTCCCTCCCAAGAAAGTCCAAACGAGGCCGCATAAAGCAGGGAGAAATCAAAGAGAAGCACCCGCATTTGCTCATGTGTTCACCCGCTATCTACTCAGTGTGTGTATTCATCAGATACTGTGCAGGATGCCGGGGGAGATGAGCTGAGAGGAGGAGGATGATGATGACGACGACGACGAGGATGATGATGATGAGACGACGACGATGACGATAATGGAGGTGATGACGGGGGGGCTTAAAAAAGGGGGTGTTGAAAAGGCTCTTGTTTTCCCTACCAAGCTTTGTAGAATTGTTGGGCCAGGTCCATTTGGAAATGAATAAACCCTAAAAAGTAAAAGCGAGGGGAGATAAGGAAGTGGGGACCATGTGTGCAGACACCTGTTCGGGGAAGTTTGGGGAGTCCGGGCTACAGTGACAGGAGTGAGACTCAGGACCAAGACAGGATTGGTCTAGGTAGGTCACTGATTGCAGCGCATGTGTCCTTGTTGAGTAGAATGATCCAGAAGAAAGGGAGAGGTGGATGCCAGAGGAGCCAGGGGGAGCCCAGAACTGGAGCCGAGAGATGCTGGCTTTCCAGGCACACTTTCTCATCTTAACAAGAGGAAGAAGAATACGGGACTGATTCTTAAGTAGCTGACTTCAGGCTCATAAGCTGTGGTTGAACTGGGTGATGGCTCCTCTCACCCACCCATTTCCTCCATGTTCATGTGGAGGAGCTGGGGTCACAGAAAGGCAGAGGAACTGCCCCAAGTTCCACAGCTTCCATGTGCTGACATCAGGTGTTCTTCCCCTCGAATATCCGCTCTCATCCCGTGATGGATTTGTGGCACATGTGCATTTCCAAAGCAATCTAATTCTATTGCTGACCAGAGAGAAAGAGAAATAATTTAAATAGCTCAATGCGATCGCGCCCGCATTTGGTTCCAAGAGCTTCTGCTGCCTCAGCTGGCCTGGGCTGGGGGACCTGGCGGTGTGGGCAGCCATCAGTCCCTGGGGAAGCCGCTCCACACACGGGGCATCCTCCACCTGTGTGTGCATCCGCGGTTGCACCAAAGTCAGTCTTTCCTAGAGAGTGGCCGCCTCAGCTAAACACACGACAAGGGCTGCATCCGGTGCTCAGTGGAAAAACGACAACCCATCGCAACGGTGAAGGAGAGATTGTCTGTGCTGGACCTGACCTCTGACCGAGTGTGGGATCCAACGGCACCTTCCGCGGGGTCCCAGCGCGCACCTTTTTAAAGAAAGTTCTGCTGGAGATTCGAACACGCAGTGCGGACGAAGAACACAGGAGCAGTCTGTAAGCAAAAACACGACAGCAGGGGACAGCTAAGCGGGGAAGAGTGCTCGGGACGAGTTCTGGGAACCGGGAGAGGAAGGAGTGAGAATCCTCCCAGCCAGGCTCCTGGGGGAGGGGGGAAGGACACTGGGGTGGGAAAGGGGGATGGATTTAGAACCAGGGAGGTGGAAGGAAAAAGGGGCGCCTAGGCGTTAGGATGGGATGGGCAAGATGGACGAGATTAAATGGGATCGAGGATTTCAGCGGGGGGCTGACGCAATGAAGAGGCGGCGTGGCGTGAGGATCGCAGGGGGCTGGCCTGCGAGCACCGCGGGCAGCTCAATGGCGCTCGGGAGCTGAGACCTGGAAAAAGTGTAGGAGTCGCTCAAAAGGGATGTCAGCGCATGGCGCGACGGCGCGCGGGAGGAGGGACTCTGAGCCACTCGGTCAGACAGGGACACACGGAAGTCCGCTTGCACACGCATGAGCGTGCACACGCACACGCACACGACACAGACATCCCCCGTGCACACGGGCGCGCTGCACGCGCCCAGGCCGCGGCCTTCCGGGCGAGGGAGGGGACAGCAGAGTCGAACGGCAGCTGGAGCCCAGCGGTCCCTTCCCGCCGCGCCCCGAGCAGGGCTTGCGCAACAGGCGGCGGCTCCGGTGGGCGCCGGCCGCGCGCTGCTGAGCCGAGCCAGGCGCGCAGGCAGGAGGAGCGGGAGCTGCTGGGAGGAGGGCGCGGGCGAGGGGTGTGTCCCCACCGCGAGCGGG